TTACTTCCCAAACCTCATGTGTTTATGTGGCTGTCCTTTTCTAATGTGAAAATAGGCATAAGACAAATATGCGTTATACAATTACAGATTTTTTTTGTTAAAGATGTTTGCTTGTACACTTTTTTTTTTTTGATCAGTGACTGCATGAGCTTTTTTCTAATCACAGTCTGCTGCCTCCTATTTTAAGAATGAAGCGACTGGCTATAAATCAAACTGCAAGCTAAGTTCTTGCCTGCATTCACTAGACAAGAGAAAGTATTTTGCAAGCATCAGAGCACTTCTCTTACTGTTTTACTTAAGGAAACAGGCTGCATTTTAAAAGGATAAAGATAAGCACAAGCATTAGAAACTGTAATTAGGCGTACCTGTCTACAGCAGGGTGTCTGCCAGTGTTTTCCTCCGGCTGGGAAAGAAAGCGAGGTGCGCGGTGGATGAGGAAGCTCTGTTTGCGAGAACACTTGCAGCTCTGCCACCAGCTGAACGGTCTCACACGCTCTAGCTTGGAGGGATGCTGTTTCCTAGAGGGCCAGGCTCTCATCAGTTTCCATAGCAACCAAGTGATTGACAGTTTATGATCTGTGGCATCCAGCTATGCAATGATGCAAGAGCTATACTAGCTCAGAGACGGCTCTGTGGCTGACGTGACCACGAGAGAGGGTCATTAGCAGCCTGCAAGTTTTGTTTTTTAGCATTCTAAAATGAATCCAGGAAAAAAGAAGAATACATTGCCTGCACTCACATTCTGTTATCATGCTTACTTGCTTATTTTAAAGTAAATATTGATCAATCGTTACCATCTACAGTAATAAATGCATGAAACACAGCAAAATGTTTACCTAAACATAGAAGCTAATGTTTTTCTTTTGTATATAATCATTACGGATGCACAATCACATTAGAACCATGTCTTAGATAATTGCTTAAAAATTGATCAACTTCAGACAAATGTTTACACCTGACCAATGTTTCAAACCAATGAGGTATTGATTGTACTCTGGAAGAGCAGAATGTTTACATGACACTGGGCTACTATGCAAATATATTTGCATTTTATTCATTTTAGTGTATTTGTAACCCTCTAGAAACAAATGCAATGCTAATCCAGAGAGATGTAGTTTAATTTCAACATTTTGTGAATGATTATGTACCAGTATGAGCAGAAGTATACTTGAAAAAAATGGATATCAGCATTAGCTCACAATTCCCATATTGATGCATCACTAATAACTATGTACACTATACATCCAAAAGTATCCAGACAACCCTTCTAATTAGTCAGTTCAGCTACTTTAAGGTGCACCCATTGCTGACACATGTTCAACTCCTTGCACACTGCTCATAATCTTTATAGAAAAGCACTGGCAAAAGAATTTGATGCTCTGGAGCAGCTGGACATGAGCCTAAGAGCTCCATGCCCAATGCCATGCACCAACTAGAGGGTTATAAAGCACCCCAGCATCGGGCTGTGGAACTGTGGAACTGTGGAACTGGGTTCTCTGGAGTGATTGAGCTTTTAGGAAGAGTTCGAGTGGCATTTGTGATCCAGAACTATTCCTCCAACATCAGTTCCTGACCTCAGTAGTGGTTGAATACAATCAAATGCTCATAGCAATGTGCCAACCTCTACTGTAAAGCCTTCCCAGAACAGTAGAGACTATCACTGCAGCAAAAGTGTGACAAACGCCCCATTAATGCCCTTGATTTCAGAAGAAACATTGAATAAGCAGGTGTCTACAAACTTTTGGACATATAGCAAATGTGTCATAGGCAGACCCAAGTACACAGACCATAGAACACTGTGGAAATCAATTTTAGCTTTTATCTGATTTTATTTAGTATATAATCAATGGACAAATTTAGCTGGACATGACAAGAGGCTTGAAACTTGACACAGATCCTGAGGGGTTATAAAGATAAAAATCTCCATTTAACTTGGCTGTCAAATAAGCTACTCATCATTAGGATACAGCATGGTTTAAAGGAAGTCTGACTAGGAACAGTGATGTTTGCAATTGAATGCAAATAGAATCGCACTTTAGACATTAGCTACCAGTGTCATTTTATCTGCTCACCATTGCTGGACCTGCTACACAGTATGTGCCCTCAGGGCTCTTAATAGCAGGCTGAGCTTTTTAGCATTCAGGTCATGTTGTTCTCACACTGTGGCTGGAACAGGAACTGCACGCTTTCTCAACCTTTCTTTCTTTTCTCTCTTTTTTGTTTCTATGTACCCACATTATGTGGCTGTAAGTACTAAATAAAGTAATTTGATAATTTCAGGACTGTTGGTGAAGGTCTAAGTGAGGTATGGCTGCCTTCAAAATAATCCTGTAAGCCAGTTTTGCAAGGATGTGTTATTGGCTACGTTAAGAGAGATGTTTAGTATAGTCAGTTCTATAGTAATTGGCACTCTTGGTAAAGAAAAGTAAAGAAATGGCATGAGTCTTTGTGGTTAATAAGCTCAGATATCTAACCTCTAATTAAAGTAGTTGAGTGAAACAAAAAAAAAAACACAAAAACACGTGTCACAATTATTGACACCACTAGAAGTTCTTATGAACATTCTTATGAAGTGTAATTGAAGCAGGTTCCCATTTATATATCACTTTTCTAAGTCCACCTGTTCAGGAACTCCTCATCCATGACTACTTGTTTCACTGGAGTATAAATGAGGTAACACAGAGGCCCTTAGTTGTTCATCCATGTGGGGAAGATTAGAGAATACAGTACTGAAATGAGAGAAAAGTGTGCTATTCTTCCTCTTCACTTCCATGCCAACAAATGATTTGGAAGGCGTACCAGAATAAAAATGTAAGCACCTGGAAATTGCTATAAAGCACTGGAACTATTGCTTGGTTTATTGGTCAGATGAGACAAAATTAGAGCTTTTTGGCAACAAACACTCAAGGTGGGTCTGATGTAGAAAGATGGTTGTATAGAAAAGAACTTAATCCTCATTGTTAAGTGTGATGGAGTATTTGTGATGTTTTTGGCTTCAAAGGCCCCGGGAACCTTGTTAGCATACATGACTCCATAAAGTAGCAGGAGTTTTTAATGAAGATTTGGTTGCTTTGGTCTGGATGTAGGTGACATCAATATTCAGCCACTCTTGCATCAGAGAATTGCGCATTTCCCTGGTATCTTACTCGTTGTTCCAGGTAGTCCTACAGATTTTCAAGAGGATTCAAATCTGGGAACTTTGTGGGCCAGTCCAGATGTGCGAATGCTCCTGAATGTTCATCATGCCAATCAGTCACATTTGCAGCCCTGTGATCGCAAGAATTGTCATCTTGGAATACAGGGATAGGAATGTTAAGTTCCTCTGTAAGATGACGACCAGGCAAAACCTGGTTGTCCAGCAGCTCAGTGTAGGCACTGTGGTTCATATTTACTGCCACCTCAACCAAAGGACCCATTTCCGTATATTTAAAACACCCTCACATCACAGAGTTTCCTCCAGCTTGAACCACACCTTGCACGCAGTCCTCATTAAATGTTTCCTGAGCTCTCAGATGAACACAACGCCTAGCAACATACAGGCAAAAACTAGATTCATCTGACCGATTTTCTGTGTCTCTTCGCCCACTGTAACCGGGCGACTTTGTGAGCAAAGCCTGTTGCGTTCCACTCTGCTCCATATGTCCATGGTATGCAGTTCCCTGTGGAGTGCTCTTTCAGAAAATGGTTGCGAAGGACTTGTGTTGACTTCTAGATTCTAGAAGCAATTCTTGCCTGGAAGCGAAGCAATTTTTATTCACAAGCCGTGAAACACAATGGCGGCCCCTGCCCATCTGTTTCGTCTTTCGGCCACAATTCTGATGAGAATTTCCTGTGGACTGGGATTTTTTACATGCTGGTGGACTCGTATGACCGTACACTACCATACACCTAAACATTCAGCTATTTCCTTCACACTATGGCCATGGGCACACCCAAATGCAATCAATCCTTTTTGCCAATCATTAACATCTGCTTTGCAGCATCATTATCTACACATCGAACAAATGACATTCACTGTACTGTACCACCTTTTCTCAATCTATGAATCCTGTCACACACTGTGCAGGAATAGCCCGATCATCCTTGTACAACACCATCTGCATATGTGTGTGTGTGTGTGTGTATATATATATATATATATATGTTTTTGTTTTGTTTTGTTTTTTGATTTCGCTCATTTTTCAGTATGAGATTGAGCCAATTTTTAAGGTCATTTTACGGCCCCTTTTCTCTTTTACAGAGGGTGGTAACAACTATGGAGCTAACTAATGTCATACTTTTGGCGTTTAAATCTCAGCATCCCCTACACGCAGTGCTATTTCAGGCTTCAAGACTGACTGCATTTTCAATGTTCAGTGACACAAGATCCCTGAGGCATGCAGAAAAAACTCAAATGTGCCCTGAACCGCCCTCCTGAAAGACAGCGCATAAACCTCCCAGGGCTGACTGGGGAACTGTTCCTAGACTACTCAGTCCTACTACTGCAGACATGACCTTTCCACTTGTCCCCAGAAAATTCAGCATTATTTCCCGAATAAAGGAAATGAAATCACTAGTGTAAAAAACTGAAATCCAGAACACTGTACTGTATGTATTTATCATATTGCATAAACCACCGGCTTTAGAGAAACACTGTATGTAATGAATGAACATAACACTGAATCACTAAAATAATTAGTGGATCAGAGCTATTAGATGCATGGAGGTATTACTCATTTACAGTTGAGGTGCAACCCATCTCACAGAATGAGGAAAATCGCTCAGCCCAGTAAATATTACATGATGGCCAAAGCCAAAAGTGCCTAGTCTCCCCTGAACGAAAATTACATTTCAGAATAAACGTCAGAGTGAAAGATGGAACTAGGAAACGTATTCTCTTTCCGCAACACTCCTACGCCTGCCTGGGTAAACAGCCCTACTTTATTAAATAAGCACAAAACTAGGTGTCCAGAGAGCACATTAATCAAAAGTTATTAAAAACGTGCAGGAGCACACACAGATGACATTTTCTTGGAAAAAGGTCAACTTTAATTTTACATGGACCAGTACAGGCACAGACACATCAAATACAATCGTGCGGACTGCAACTACAGTCTTCATACAGGGTCACAAAAAGACTTCATATTTAAACTGGATACTGTCACACTGACTTCAGGTGCAACCTTAAAGGAAAACAGCAGACACAAAGTATAAAAGTTTCAGTGGAAACATCAATTATAAGTTTAAAGCAAATGGACAACCTTAAAACAATCACAACATATGTCTGCTGATATGAGTTTTATTAGTATTCTCAGATTTAGGCTTAAAGCTCAAATACCTATATTTGCAAAGACTACACTAAAAGCTGTAATGTACTGGACTATTCAAAAGCCAGAGACCACCATTCATGTATTTCATTTCTAGTCAAAAAGTACAACTTATTCATTTTTCAAAGGATATTTCTGAGGAGATCAGATGTACGATAATCCACTTGCACAAGGGGAAAGGAAAATAAGTTAATAAAAAATTAGTTTCCAAAACTGTAGTGCAAAAAATGAATAAAAGATTAAGAGAAAATAAGGCTCCTAAACACTGTGCAAGACTTGGTTGACCGCCAAAACTGTCCCTATAAGATAAACAAAAGAAAGCTTTAAAGCTTTCATCTTTGAGAGAAAATCAAGCTCCACTCTTGCTTCAGATCAGAAAAAATGTCTCTGCCCATCCTTCCACTGTGATAGGACAGCTCAGTGCTATGGGTCTGAAATGATGTGTAGCTGTCAAGAAGCCATTACTAAGAAAGGAAAGAAGATAGAAAATGAAAAATCTGCAAATCAAACAAAGCAGCTGGCGTTCTCAGAACAATGGACTGATCAGCCCAGAGTTCAGACCTCAACATCACTGAATGTGTTTGGGAATACTTGGATCATGAGAAGCAGAAAATGCAACCAACCAATTTTGGAGGTCTGGAAAAATATCCCAGCATAGGTCTTTTAAAACACCCAAAGCAAGTCCCCTGAAAAGAACGAAAGCTGTAATAAAGGTAAAATGTGGACACTAAATAATTAAAAATGTGATATATGTAGGTGCTGAGATGCAGGTGTTGCAGGAAAACATACGACTGTCGCTTCTCATCTTGGTCAGCAAGGATCAGGGAAGTAAAAATATATCCAGGATAATAAATAAAATTATATCATTTGTAGTACTGAGATTTTCATGAAGACCAGTGCATGTAGACAGTGTTTCAGGCATATTGTGCAATAAGATGTTACACTAACATTTGGGGTCCTAACTCCTGCAGAATTCGACATTGCGCTCTTCACCTAATGATCATATTTTTAGACTCCTCACATTCAGAGCTGCAGTGTTTTGTGATAGACAGGTTGGATAATACAGAGAAGCAGTTAATGATGAATGCATTTTTCAGAGGAAGCACAAAGACTATTCTTAGAGTGGTCTTTTTTCAAGGAAGAGAATAAACACAGATTCTAATATGTCTGAACAGAGAAGACGTGAAAGGTTATCCCTACTACCACAGATAGGATTTCCCTTATATTCTGTGTTGTATGGGGGCTCGTTGGGGTTGCGTATTAAGAGTTTATCATAGTCTGCCCTCAGGGTATTGATACAGTGATTGGCTTCAATAAAAGCAGCACTGAGTGGCACTGACATGTATTATTGACCAATTGTTTTTATCAGATAAAACACTTTTATTTACCAATACTTAAAAACACATTATGTTGTATGCATAAGCAAGTGAGATTATTAACCTTATTACAAATCTGTCTTATTAACCGGCCAACTTACCCAGTACAGTGCAGCTACTGGCTGTTACTATACAGGTCATTGTTGCCATGAAAACAGGGCCATGCGGGATCTTCAGAGCAGTCATTTTTCTGTTACACAGTTTACAGAAAGCAGTTATAATTTAGTAATCACGGAAGACACAGGCAAATGGCATCTATGAACTTAGAGCTTGATTTTGGGAAAGATTAATGAAATCTTCCTGTACTCAGCAGAAGAAAAATTGTCAACACCATCTGCTATGTTCAACATACTAGCACAGATCAACCACTGATGCATGTATCTCTTAAAGACTGGCCAGTGCTTAGAGAAATCACAAATACAAAGGTGTGATCAATAAAACACACAAATGTGCTAAGGTCACTTGGACCAATAGTAGCTGAGCTGTCGAGGTGCTCATGCTCTGCGCAGACCTGCAACCTAGCAACGCGTCTGGATAAAAATATCCACTACATACGTGACCAATCTGAGCCACATTCTCTCAGTCTCATCAACACTGTTGACTCATCCCACTGACAGACTGGCTAAAGGAGCTGATTGGAATTGACCCTCACTCCTATTATTGGCTGCAGTATCTATGATAAATTAAGGAGGATTCATTTGTTTTTTTGTCGATGTGGTGTGTCAGTGATTTGTCATGAATAACAAATAAATAACACCTAACTAAATGACAATAGCAGCAGCATATAACAGAACCTGGGTTTATCATACTAGTCTAATAACTAATAACAAGTAAGTACTTCAACTCCATATGACTATACAATACAATACTATAATATACTATAAATATAAAAGCAAATATACTATATCAACTACATATCACTACACATCACATATACAGTACTGTGCAAAAGTCCACTCTTCAAACATTTCAATTCCAGTTAAGCTTAGTTAAGGTTAGTATTAGCAATTAATTTCCATTCCAAATATATTTTTGAGGAGATTAGATAAAATAATCCACTTTTATAAAGAAGAGGAAACCCAAAGAAAATTAGGTGAAACAACAGATAAACAGTCAGATAAACAGTACTTAAAGCTTTCATCTTTGAGAGAGAGGAGAAAATTAAGCTCCACTCTTGCTTCAAATCTAAAAAAATCCACAGATGTTTCTGTCCATCGTTCCACTATGAGATAACAACTAAACGCTATGAGTCTGAAAGGATGTGTAGCTGTCAAGAAGCCCTTACTGATAAAAAGAAATAGACAAAAAGAAGAGAATGCGGAAAGAAACCTAAGCTGTTGGTGGGCACGATAAATACTAAAAACACTAATAACCTACTTTTGTGTAATTTTCTGCAAAATGTATGATTTCTGCTTTTTTTCCCTGGTGCTAAATAAATGAATAACTTTTACTGAATTAAATACATTTCCAGGCTAAGAGCATGGTGGTTGAAGTCCCATTTTCTCTGTATCTTTTAATAATTTATCAACTTCAGTTTTGAAAACTCCAGTTTATTCACTTACTTTCCTTTGACCTCCCCCTTCTTTATGCAAATAGATTATCTTATATACAATCTCCTTAGAAATATCTCCTGAAAAATTCATAACTGACTGGAACTTAAATGAATGACGGGTGGTGTCTGAAAGGTCTCACACAATAATAGTAATGACAGATGGCCTTTAGGTATTTAGGAATACTGAAGTAAATGAAAACTTACTGTAACTGCCAGAAGGGAGAGAAAGCCTGCTCCCACAAAGGCCTGGATGTCTGCAATCGGCAAGGTAAAGTCCGTAGGCACCACTTTCATCTCTGGATCATTACCCAAGGATGACTGGGTCTTCATTATGCACACTGGAAAATTCCCAAAGCCCTTTAGGAAAAGAATAATAAAAATGAATTAACAAATTATAAAGTTAGATGGATTTTTAAAAAGGTTAAAAATAATTAAAAATCAGTGTCATTACACTCCTACTCTATTCCCTACTTGTTGTCATAGAAGAACACCATAGGTTCACTTAAGTTTATTTAAATCATCCTCTGATTACATATGTTGATAACTGTGATCTTTACAGTGAAAAGTGCTGCATTACATGCTATCAATTGCTCACAGTGTCTATTATAGTGTCTTTTGGTGAAGACTCACCTGTTTCATGTAAAGTGCCAGTTTCTCTTTGGCTTTTGGTGAGAGCTCCACGTCCTTAGCACCATAAATCTTCTGCGCCACCCTCTGAATCTTCTTTATGATTGGCAGCTACAAGATCACATTAACCTCAGTTAATCTCAAATTCTGCAAGCAATCCATCTGTTATGGTGCTGTATATCATTGCTGCTGCAATTTAAGTGAGTTACGTGCAGTGAACACAAGTGAGTTATGTCCAGTTTCCCTGGGGGTTATATTTAGGCCTTGTCTATGAGGATTGTGTGCATGATATAAATATAAGCTGATAATGAAACAGCTCTATGTAAGAGGTGCTAATTGATTCTCCGAGGGACACATGATAAGGCAGTGCTGTTCAGTTAAGGACGTATACAAATAAGACTGAAAAGATTAATAATCACTTAAAAGGCTCCCTGCCATGAGTGATCATTAGTAAATGCTTTGCATACTATTAAAGATCTTTAAAAGGTAGACTCTCAGTCCGTAAGAGTGCACAACTATGTTCCAGAAGTACACCTTAAAACTCCAACTCAAGCTCATTATACTGTTCTTAACAATGACACAATTAGATATGCCAATCATGCTGTTGCTTTGCAGTGTTGCAACAGACTTCATCACATTTTCTTTTTCAAGCATACGTTCCACCACTAGCACTCATTTTACCTCCAGGTCATACAGGTAATGAAATGGGCTTGGTAGCTCTGCTGCTTTCTGAACAGCTTGTGCCAGGGCAAGTGCTCCAGCTCCCCCATCAGACCAGTTAGTGCAGAGCACTGCATCAAATGCCCCAGCCTGCCTCGCCTGGCTACACACCAGCTCCAGCTCAGCCTTTGTGTCAGAACTACGGGCAAAGGATAAAGACATTTAAACAACATTTTCACAATTCCACACTTTTCATATTCCCATGCATTTCATTTGGCAAATCAATTAGCATATCTATTTTGTTCACATCAGAAGTAATTTAAAAACAATTGATTAGAGACACTTAGCTTTAGTTCACTATATTTCCAGAGGGTCAAAAGCTTACATATATCAAGTTGACTGTCCAAAGTATCCACATCCATCATTAAGAGAGAGTTCTACATTGCCATGACCTGAAAGGCTCCAATTCCAAGACCGGTACAAAAAATGACACACTGATGTTTGCAGGTGATCACCGAGACAAACTATAAAAAAGACCTAGCATTTTGAAGGAGTTTTCTCCAATCAGATTAAACAAAGATTTAACTGTTTGGCCGTGACGATCAGAGCTATGTATGGAGGGAACAGGGTGAGAACACCATCCCAACTGTGAAGCATGGGGTGGCAGCATCATGTTGTGGATGTGTTTTGATAAAAAAGGAAATGGTGCACTTCAGAAAACAGGCATTATGAGGAAGGAGGATTATCTAGAAATACTAAAGCAACACCTCAAGACATCTGCTACATAGTTGCTTGGTCACAGCTGGGTCTTCCAGCTGGACAGTCCACCTAAGCATTCCTTCAAGTTGTGACAAAATGGCTTAAAAAGTAAACAACAAGATAAAAGTACTGGAGTGGCCATCACAAAGCCCTGACCTCAATCTCATAGAACATGTGTGGACAGAACTAAAAAAGCATGTCTGAGCAAGAAGGCCCACAATCCTGACTGAGCTACACACTTCTGTCAGAAGAAATAAGCCAATATACTGGCACAGTATTGTGAGAAGCTTGTGGAAGCCTTTCCTCAGCGTTTGATTTGTCCAGCAATCACAAAGCAATACCACCAAATTCTAGTATGTACATTTAAACTTCTCTTATATTTGCTATTACTTTGTAATGACCTTGTATGCAAATACAGTGTATACAATGGAGTTTAGAAGTCTTTAGCCAGATTGTATGTAGAGTTTTATACTGAACTGCACGAACAGTCTAAAGCACACAATCCAGGAAACAGCACATCCAGGAAACTATAAAGCCCATAAATTTTTTATTGTTAGTACGTAAAAAGAAAAGTCAGGCAAAACATTTGATGTGTAACCTGAAGGTGTTGACAGCCACCACGACTGGCAAACCATATGCTCTGGCATTCTCCACTTGTCCCTTCAGATGAGCACAACCTTTCTCCAGCAACTTCAGGTTCTACAGGACAGAATAAAGCCATTATTTCGTACCACCCACCCGTATGCTCCATCACTTTACTCACACCTACTGCAGGATATGAATACTTCATTCTCAATACTGATCCACCATAAATCGTTAAGTCTCTTGAGATTGCAACATTTTTTATTAAAAAAATAATAAAAGAAGAGGCAAACACACACATGCAAATGTGCACAAAAAAGGTTTTTCTCTTAGATCCATCTTTATTTCTATTGCTTTCTGTGTAACTCTGGCTAAATAATACTGTACGTAGGAGATGTGGAGGCTGGATGCATGAGTTTTAGTCCAAGTTTACAGCAACAGGAGTCAACAAGCAAATGAAGGGAACAGGAGTATCCAAACAACAACAACAACACAACAACAACATTTAGGTGAAACACAGAAAAGTCATAATTGGGAAGCACAGTAACAAATACAAATACAATGGATCAACAGACAGACTAACAGAGGTAACCAGCAATGCTACATAAAAGGCAAAGGGGGAGGGGGCATAGTCTACATTTTCACAAACAGGTAGTCTTAGCTTCAGACACTTCACCCACATATAAATGGAGTGTTTGATATCTTTTACATGATAAGCTAGTATGTAAAGAAAAGACAGGAGTGGGGACTGGAAGGGGAACAGCCTGGCTGGTGACATTTTGACAAATACTACTCATAATACATCTATATATTAACTTTTTCAAAATATTATTGTTTTCACGAGGAGTCACCATATATCCCTAAAACATCTACAGAGCTAAACACACACCTAGCTCGGCTCTGAAACAAGATCAACACAACAATGAACTCTTGCATCACTTGAGCTTACCTCCTCTGAATACTGTTTAGGCAATGGAAAGCCTGCTGTGACCTACAAGCAAGAAAAATAATTACACTCACTGTCTTTTCCATCTCTGAAACACATTCACTGAGCCATGAAGCCCAGGAGACTTCTCCACTTCTCCATGGATGGAAAAGTACAGTACATTATTAACACATTCACACATGTGACTTTGTGGAGAAGTGAGGAGTGTGTGGGAGGACTAGGCAGCTTAATTATGCTGTCATGCCTTTAATGATGTAAGGATTCTTCTCACATGCATGGAAATGGTGTGATCTCACACCTCTGCTAAAGGTGATTAAAGTCATTCTTACTTTGGACAGGCTATAAATGTCTCTGTGGCTTAGACTCACCCCAGGGCCACCCCCATGCATCTTGAGGGCACGGACAGTAGCCACCAACACCACCACATCTGGCTGCAGGCCTGACGAGCGGCACTTGATGTTGAAGAATTTCTCCATGTCAGTGTCAGCACTGTGCACAGTCTCCGTGACTGAAGCAATATGACAGAGAAGAGCATTAATATTGCGTGTTCTTACAATTCAAGCTACTTTTGGACATTTGCCTACAAACACTATTTACTATTTACTGTTATTTTATATTTTAACACTAATTCTTATGTAAAAATGACAACATTTGATTATTACAAAATAAACTGTTTAGAGTTTAATCAGTTTTAGTGCTGACAGGAATTGAGTGACAGAATATGCCTCACCCACAAAGCCCTGTGGGCCCACCAATTTTAGAGCTATTTTGTCTGTCACGACGGACGCATTGCCATAGGCGATATCAGCAGATGGGCTAGTGTGAACAAACACTGGGGTCCCCTGAGAGAACAAGATTGAAAGTGAGATAGACATACAGTGAGAGTAAAGTATGTCACGTAACTAGCTATCATTTTCGGTTTAAATGAATGATTTTGAAGGAGTTATGCAAGAACTGAACTTGGGAGGGAAGAACATACCTAAAAAAAACAGCTCCATCTAACATCCAGCCACATAAGGTAAACACACCTGACTATTTCTTCTGGTTTTGACGATTCATGCTAATAACTAACTTACTATACCTCTCTTCCTTCTTGTAGTGTGTAAGGTCCTTTCCACCATTATTTTATCTCAAATTTCCTTGGATGTCCTTGTACATCCAAAATCTGTTTAAAAATAGTCAGTTTGTCAGAGATGTGTTAATAGTGACAATGGCTGTCCAAAATCTATTTTAAGCAGGCAGCTCGTTGGTGACCCATTAATAATGTCAATGGATGTCCTTAAATCCATTTTAAAAATGATTGTCGGTAGTTTCCCGAGCCAGATTTCTGCCTATCATCACAGTATGGTGTGTCTTGCCCCTTAGCATGGCCAAGAACCATCTACTTTGATACGAAAAGGGTAGTTTGACTGACATGCAAAATAACCAAATGCAGACCGTAGGTCCAAATACAGAACATGCTGATGAAATTTGGAATTTCCTAATTTCCTAAACTAATAGTGGAAATGACATTATTTTGGACATCTTTTCAATTAATTTTTTATCCAAAATAACTAGGTGACTCTGTTGGTTGACTTCAGAAATCAATGGTATTAATGGGGAATGCTGTTCCCCCTTTACTTCAGTAACAGCCTCTACTCTTCTGGGAATGTTTTATACTAAATGTTGGAACATTGCAGTGAGAATTTGATTGCATTCCCCCACAAGAGCATTAATGAGACCAGGTACTGATGTTGGATGATTAGCTTTGGAAGATAAATGCCACTCCAACGCATCCAAAAGGTACTGGATGGTGCTCCATCACTCCATCACTACACAGCCCAATGCTGCAGGGTTTTATACCCCTCTACCTGATGCTTGGCATTGAGCACGGGGCGGGGTGCTGGAGCCTATCCCAGCGCTCACTGGGCAGAAGGCAGGAAACACCCTGGATGGGTCACCAGTCCATCATAGGGCAGACACACAGACATACACATTCACACACACAAGTAGGGGCAATTTAGTATCTCCACCTGGCTTGACTGCATGTCTTTGGACTGTGGAGGAAGTGCTAACTATTATTTTTTACTGTTATAGTTCACTATTGTTTTTATCCATCCTAATGATGAAATATATACTGTATGATAGACATGTCTGCACTCTATAGAAAAGCACTGCTAATAGAATGGGATGCTCCAGAGCAGCCACACATGTACCTACGGTCACCATACCCTATACCAAGTGTCAGCCAGAGGAGTACAAAGCTCCTCAGCATTGGACTGTAAAGCAGTGGCCCTGTGTTCTCTGGAGTGATGGAGCTAGTGGAGTTGGAGTAGCGTTTGCGATCTAGAAGTAATCATCAGATGTGTCTTTACATCTAGTGTAAAGCCATCTTAGTAAAGTAGAGGCTGGTACTGCAGCAAAGGGGGGGAAACCGTTAATAGCCTTCACTTCAGAAGAAATACTGGATGACCAGGTGTCTCCTAACTATTAGACATTTGATATATATATGCATAAGGAAACATTAGATGTCATGTCGTAATCTCATGGAGGAAAGTGAACCTTTTATCATACCTCCAAAGTCTGCATCAAGCAAGGCTTCAGGGCATTGTTCAACAGCAGGGCTAGGGCACCACTAACACCCTGTGAAAACAAAAATAATGGGACATAGCTCATACACTCACACATACTGGTGAATTAAACATGCATTCGGCTTTCAGCAGACAAATATTTTCACATCACACGCACTGACCAGGTCCTCTGTGGTAATGAGCTCTTCAGATCTGCTGATAGCCACCACCATCTTGGCCAGTCTGTTCTGAAGGTCCTCTGCACTGCTGCTCAGAGACAGTATGGCCATGATCTCATTCTTCAGGGAGGCAAAATCCTGCCACACATGTTCATTCCATCTTCACATAGCAATTACTTCTTTTTCAAATAATGTCCTGCACAATCAGTACATCTGAAACTCAATCAACTCACTGTATAAACAGTGAGAGAACATATTGGTGGCATTTGGACAGAAACAGGCAAAAAGCAATAAATGGCATTACAATGATAATTACTCTAGTACTGATACATACCGTTCTGGCATTAATGTCTGGGTTAACGTCCAATCGGATGAAACGTCTTATCTCTTGTTCAGTCAGGGTCAAGGGATCAGATTTCTCAATGCCTAGTTTCTGCAGACAGGTTATAAAGCCCTCTATCAGTTTTCTGACATGGCATTTTAAGTAGACATATTTTTAAAGGTATGGAATAATACTGTATTTTAAGAAACATTTTTGCAATCTTAAGTTTAGCAAGTTTACACAAAGATGCAAGTGGATAGATTTAAAACCTAGTGTTTAAAACAGGAAATTAAATAAATAGGGCTGACCTGAATAATTTGAACACCCAAGCGTTCATTACATTGGTATTCAAGTCTATGTTTGGTATTCGGAACAATACATTTCATCAGCAAGAGCAAAGATACCTGAGAATTCATGTTTAGAAACTCTTTAAGTTATCAAATGATAAGAAAAATGCTCAGTGCTCATTTTGCAATAAGAAATTGGTATGGAGGCATGACAAGTTTTATTAATCATCTGAAATATGTAAATATGGTGATACAGTCCCTGGTGAGGGTGATGCTAAAATTGGGGAGTTCAAAGCCTCAAACTGTTTGTTGTGGTGAGTTCTAGCTGTGGATTGAGGAGGGGAACACTGGCACTACTGCTTTCACTTCTCCCTGGGTAGTCCTTCCTGTGTAGCTCCAAAAGCTCCTCATTTCTCTGCTCAACTCAGCCTGCGTGTCACCCTTACTGGTGCTTTCCATGACAAAAAAAACAGTGAACTAGCCAAATAAAATAACTCAGTAAAGTCAATAAAAGCAACTAACTAAAACTAAATTCATGATGGTGATAAATAGAACAGTAATTCTAATTCATAAGACTTACAGTGTCTAAGTGATTCTGAGGGTGACAATCGTAGCATCTGTAGCAACATACAGTGTGCAAGCAGCTGGGCTTCAGCCTGACTATTAATACAACGTTGCCATCGCTAGATAAATTGTGAACAGCAGTAAGATTTATACATTAAATTATGGTTAATTATTAAATATAAATATTATTGCTTTCAGAAGTGATTTTAAGAAGTATTTGTGTACTTGTTTGGAAATACCAGCAAGCCTGTAAAATGCTATTGGAGCCAGCCCCAGTCAAAAAATCTCACTCACACTGACAGCAGTCTTCTTTGAAAAAGCACTGCCAACAAAATGATTGTGTTGATCAGAGTTGAAAACATTTTACCTTACCTGTAGCCTACTGAGCTGGGAAGGTGAAAAGGATCGATGACCATCTCTGAATGGCACCAGGAGGTCAAATAAAACCTGCAGGAAAAGGGCTTTTCAGTACAAGCATGAACACCCACACTCACACTAATCCACACTAGAGCTCATCTTACCTTGTCAGAGTACTTGGTCTGGTAGTGACAGTATGCTTTGATAGTGTCCACCACCAGGCTGCTGGCAGCAGAAACAGCCTCGCTGTCACCTGAGGGCTGAAGACTGACCTGGGAAACATGTAGAGAGGAAGCAAATACTAATAACACAAGCAGAATGTAGGAGGGAAATCACATTTTGTGATCCGTCATGTAAGAGATGACTATACCTCCTCCATCGGTATGATTTGCGAATATCCACCTCCAACAGCACAACCTGTGTATAATGCAGTTCACAGTATGTCATGCAAAGCTTGTATTGAACTTTCACTATTATGTCCAAAAGTTTGTAGACACCTGCTCATCCAACATTTCTTCAGATATCAAAGGTATTAATCAGGAGTTTGTTCCCACTTTGCTGCAGTAACAGCCTCTACTCTTATGGGAAGACTTTCAACTAGATGTTGGAACACTGATGAGAGGATTTGATTGCATTCAGTCACGAGAGCATTAGTGGGGTCAGGTACTGATGTTGCATGATAAGTTCTGGATCACAAATGCCACTCAAACTCATCCTAAAGGTACTGGATAGAGCTCCATCAATTCCACGGCTTCACAGCGCAATGCTAAGGGGCTTTATACCCTCTAGCTGATGCTTGGCATTGGGTATGTTCACCTTAGGCTCATGTGTGGTTCCTCTAGAGCATCTTGTTCTACTGACATTGCTTTTCTATGGAGATTATACAAGCTATGAGCACAATGGAACTTAGTTAGCAAGAGTTAGTAATAGGTGCACCTGAAATTAGCTGAATTCTTTATTAAAAGTGGTGTCTGGATACTTCTGGACATATAGTGTACTTAAAACTAATATAGCACAAACTCAAACTTCTGCAGCTCTACATAATTAAAGCATCAGACGGTACATTTTCACTTATGGGCTTAAGCTGCCATTTGTGTAAAAATCCTCATGTAAATACATTTTGAACACCAATATCAGGGAGACTAAGGCTTTCTTAGACATTGGGAATTTAACACTCTTACCTTTGATACCAAAACTGGATTGTGGGGATGGCTGTTGTACAGAGGCAAAAGCATTGATGTCCAGGTGGGCTCCTAAAGCTTGTGCCAACCCGAGTGTGATGGTGCTCTGGCCTTCACCAAGTTGAGTAGGCGTAATTCTGACCACGCAAGCAAAGATGGTATTTAGTTAAAGAAGTTCAGTTTGTGATATAGCCTGTACAGATATGCTGTCAAACATACTCATTTCAGTGTATTTACATTGTTTTCAGAAAAAATGGCTTCAAGGCATACAGCTAATGTAAAAAAATAGAGCATTTATGACTGTAATGAGGATTTCTGGGTGCTGGTTAAGACTAGTCCAGCTATAAAACAGCAAAATTTGAATTTTCACTACAATAAACCTGGCTCACATTAGTCCCTCTGTATGGTGTGGACTATTAATGAGCTTTAATATACAATATGTCGAAACTGTTATGTGAAGAAGTCTGAAAATGAACTCAAATTACCCAGTGACCAGCACATATTTCCCATTAGGTTGTTTATCCAAGCGTTTTAGGACTTCCACTCGCACTTTTAGCCTGCTCCTGCCGTACGGCTCTACCTCCTTTGAGAGGAGGCCCACTTCTTTGGCAAGCTGACCAATCGGATTTCTTGGGTATAAGCGAGAGATTTGGACATCACTGTAAAAGACCGCAAGGCGGGAATAAGTTTAAAAACAGGATGAACTGCAGTTCCAAAATGCATAAGACTTTTTGATGAGCTGTTTTAACAAATCAAAATGTTTTATAATGTTTCAGTGTTATTCACAAGCTGTTTTATAAATCATATTACTTAAAATATATATACATTTAAAATATACATTAAATGTATGTAGTTGTGCTTAATGTGTTGAGTCCTTCTTTTTGTGTAAGTAAATTTAAGCATGTAATTTGTAGACATACTGTTATTACACTATATTAAAGATACTACTGGGTGTACTGATCCACTTCAGTGCTATTCATTTATACTGCAACAAAAATGTATTTTAAATAAGATCTTAATATCACAAAATACACTTAAATACATTCAACAAATAAAACGTTGAATGTGTTCAAAGTGTACTTATATTAAAAATAATTAAGTATACATTTAAACATATGAAGAATAACTAAACACAACATGTTGTTAACTCTTGTTCATTTAAAGTTAACTTAGGCAATGTTGACACAAATTCTCCTACACTTGAAACATATTTTAGATGTAAAATTCTTAGTTGTACTGATACCCTCATATTTGATTGCTAGTTAGTTTATTATACTGAAACTAAAATGCACTAAAGCATATTTTAAAAGTCATTGCTTTAACAGATACAGATAAATAATACACTTAATTTGATGACAATTTAGTATGCTTCTATTTTAGTATGCTTCAGTATGTTAAGAAGTGTTTCTATAACTTCATTTATCTACTTTTTAAAGAATACAAAAATGTATATTTTTTAGATGTATTTCCATAAAATGCATGCAATTAACTATTGTGCTATTAGTGTTCTAAGCATATCAAGGGCTATAAACTAGAAGAAAACTTCCTCCCTGAATGTTAAGACATTTTGCATGCAACTGTACCTTGGCTGGGGTTTAAGCGGCTTTAGCTTTGTGTAGGAAATATTCCACTTCCCAGGCTTGTACATCTGCAGAAATCGCTTAGCACTCTTGACTGTATTCTGGTGATGACAAGAGTTATTTTTATCATAAAGTTAGGGTGAGGTAACATATGAATTTATATGACATGTAATTTTCATAATTGATCTAACCAATAAACATATCAACAGTAGTGCATTTTTCTCACAATTATATCCATTTCATCCAAGGACAAATTAGTATGAGTAAAAGTAAGTTTTTTATCATGAAGCAGCAGGAAAAGGTGGCTCATCATGTGGCCTTTTGTAAAGCACACATCAAGACACAACGACCTGGCTGACTTCACCGTTCGAGAAGATCAGGTGTCATACTAACATGAAACACCAGAATTTTTGCTAGTACATATCTTTGTGTACACAGAACTTCTTAGTGTAAAAAACCAGGTCATCTCTTTCTTGGTTTTCTACCTCCATCAGCATGACAACAGTCATCGGCCCCACTCCTCCAGGAACAGGGGTGATGTACCCCGCGCGCTCCTTAGCTGACAGGTATTGTACGTCCCCAACTACCCGTTTCCCCCCCGGCTTCCTGCTGTCTGTGGAGAGTAAAAACATGAGCTGAAGTTCCTGACAGACTCCATTAGGAACCTAATGTTCAAAAAGAGGCCCTGAAGAAAAAGAAATACCTGGGATATGATTGATGCCACAGTCAATGACCACTGCACCCTTTTTAACCCATTCTCCTTTCACTAGTTCTGCTTTGCCAGCCCCCACAACCAAGATGTCTGCCCTTCCCACCTGAAGAGACAATGTGAATATAGTGAGTTCTTCTCTTAATTTTCTTCATGCAGAAGGAATGTGCTCAGTTACATTTTGCATTTAATACCACAAAGTGCAAAATACTGCTTTATAATTTTAAATGACCAGTATAGATGTCAGCTTTGCTGTTGTAATATGAGATTATATGGTTAAGAAGCATATATCACCCTGCTTATGTAGGTGTGAAAAAAAAGACAGTACGAGGCATTACTTGTGCAGCGAGGTCTGAAGTCTTGGAGTGACAGCTGGTCACAGTGGCATGGTTCCACAGGAGCAGATCGTGCATGGGAGCTCCAACAATCTTACTGCGTCCAATCACCACCACATTCTTGCCAGACACTGACACACCTGCACATTAAACAGAGCTCTTACTCATCAACTGGACTCTCTTCAAGTAATCCAAAGCAAAAGCCCTAAAAACATATGTTAGATTTGGCAGATGTTCTTATCCAGAGCGACTTATCATAAAATCACATATTAGATATAGGCAAATTTAGTGTTAGGAGTCTTGCTTAATGACTTTCATTGGTGTAGCATTGTGTTTGTGCCTGAGCAGGGAACTGAACCCCAGTTTGCTGCAAGTGGGTCCACAGTATTAACTACTAGGCTACACTGCTTGCTGTCCACTGTTTTAGGAACCACTACCTTGTACTTTCTGCCCGCTTTATGAGGTCATAAAATGACAATGTAATTTGGCAGTCTGCTTATTTAAACACCATTGTTATGTCTTAAACAAGCTGATGCTCTTAAGGCATGCCATTACACTAGTCATCCACTAGCATCTAACACTAACCTAAATGTTTATATTAGACTACCTGTTTAAGAGTTATAAATAATGAATGTCATATTTACTACAGTCTCACCAGCAATGAGTAGCAGCAAGGTAAGGCTTCTAATAAAGCTTCCAGTAAGTATATTCAAACGTGTTTAAACATGCGGATGCACCAAATTATTCATTTTAAGGGAAAATTCTACTTTAATGAAAATGAGATCATAATGTACAGATGTGATGATAAGTAAATGTGCCTGATTTGACTGACTGTCTCTCACCAGTCTGCTTGATGAGTTCCATGCAGCCATTGGGAGTACAGGGGATGAAACAGCTCCTTAGGTCTCCACGAGCCAGTTTCCCTGCATTTATACTGCTCAGACTAGAAGAGCGATACAGATAAAACCATGAGTGGTCTTGCAGTTGCATGAGGAGCTGCAAAGTAGTCCAACCACACAGTTGGCACGTTTGTCTTGTCTAAAAGATTAGGACATAAACATTATGGAGAATTAGATCCTCTCTATGTCTCCTTTCGAGCTGAGAGCTCCACAGCAGCTGCACAAGCAAAAAGGAAACATTTATAGCTACCGCAGCCTGGCCAAAAGCAATATTTACACTGCACCTCATGCTCTTTCTCGCTGGTATTCACAGATACCTGTTTGCTCTAACAGCAGTGCTTGCAAAAGCATGTTTTTTCCATTTGAAAGAAATTGAAAACCTCAAGTACTGCTGGCTGGGCACCTTCAATTTAATTCTGAGAGGCAACAGATGACAGGCTCATGTTCATGCTGGATAGGATGCTACCTGTTTTTCGGCTTGTCTGAGGTAGATGTAGTCCACTGGACTGATGCAAAAATACTTGCTTCTGCCCAAACCTTTATTTTCAGTGTTCTTAGACGAATGGTAAAACCAGCATGCTATTACCAGTTACTATTATCAGTCTACAAAAAGCAAGAATTAGGCCAAGTGGTTCTCACAGAGTGAGTGGATTAGAGAGCCAAATGAAGTGGGCTAGAAACAGGGAAGAAACGGTATGTGTGGCAGGTGGCTTGAATTTTACATTGGAACGCACTTTCCAATGTAGAGAAGAAAATGTTTCAGACCCCACTACTGTTTCTGTAACAGCCTGAAAGAGTGACACTTATTAAAAAGAGTCGACACTAACTGCATAAAAGAGGAGGCTGACCCCTGTAAGAGACCATGATAATAGATCTGTGTAATGACTGCAAATCATCTTTACAGATATATATTATTCTAAGCTATAAAATGTATGAAAGCTGTACAATGCATGGAATCATGCAGAGAAGCTTTCTGTACACAGAAGGTAAGTAAAGGTCTTGTCTAGGATGGATCAAACTTGGTCAATACAAAGCACTGGGCAGTACTCACAACTTAAAGGCTTCTGAATTGACACAATGAATTGATTTTCCTTTATGGTGCTGGGAATTTTCAGTGAAATAAAACATTGTTTTCACAGAATTGCAGTACATATCTCACCCATCCACATCTTTCTCTGGAGACACTGCATTGGTCACTTTCTCTGTGTCTATGGGGTTGATGGAGTCCAGAGGTAACTGGACAATGAGACCATGGACCGCAGGGTTATCATTTACTGCTTCTATGTTCCACAGCACCTGAACAAATCAAAATTATAGTCTATTCCCTACTTGGTGTGTTTTCATTAGAGAAGAAGAAGGGATCACTTTTTTGTTGCCAGTTGTGGCCCAGAGTCTGTTCTGCTTACCTCATCTTCTGTGGCAGTCTTTGGAAGCCTAATGTGGTTGGCATCAATTCCAATCTATAAAAGGCAGAGCAAGCATGAGAGGAAGAGTCAGCACAACATCTAAGATCAACAAGGCTACATTTATCCCCACCTACATCAGCTGCCGCCTTCAGCTTCATACTAATGTAGAGGTTTGAGTCTTCTCTGTCTCCAACCTAGGAGGCACAGAAATGAATGACTTCATTTATAATATCAAACGCAAACAAATGAACAACTCAATACAACTATTTTGACAATGAAAACTGATTAAAAAAAAAAAAAACAGATTGCCAAGGGTAGCCAAAGGATAGCGAAGGGTTATTCTGGGTCAACACTACACGCAAACATTGTAGGTCATGTTTGTCAACGTATTAAAGCAATTCATGAAGAAGCTTCTTTTTTCTATTTAAGACAAAAGAATGAATAAAGAAAAGAGAGTGGCACATTACCAAGTGGCCATCTGGAGCAAAGTAAGAGGAAAAAGAATAGAGAAGGAAGGTGGTTCATATTTTCAGAGAAGAAGAGATTATTGACTTCATTATCTTCAAAGAATAGATCAGAGAAAATGAAGAACAAGCGCCAACTGACTTGCAGTACAACTAAGCCTGGTCTAAAACCAGGCAGATGGCTCTTCATCTCTGCCACATCCTTCTTCAGACGCTCCCTCACCTGTCTTTACAAAATATAAAACAGTAAATACAACATGTAGAATTAAAACACAGAACAATATGAAAACATTACAAATAAACACACACACACACACACTCATACCATACAAACAGTACTGTGCAAACATTTTAGGCACCTGAGAAAATTTTATTTAAAAAAGTAAACTTAAATAGTTTGAGGAAACCAATATAAGTATATCAGTATACTTATATCGGTTATTATCATATATTTAATTATATATAAGTATATATGAGTATAAGCAAAATATATTTATTGTTGTATCCACTTAAGTAAATTGAGCAAACTGTACCAACTCCAGTCACTGTGTTAATCTTAGAATGATTGAGTATTTTGGACTTGTGTATATGAATATGCAATAGTTGTATTAACTCAATACAATTAAGTACTTGTAAATTAAATTTACTGCTTGGCTAAACTAGGCTATTCTTGTAACAAATTCATATTGTATTGCAGAAATATGGTGATAATAGATATTGCAGACTCCAGAGTCCAGATGTAGTTTCTGTAGCATCTGTAGTTTGCAGAGTCCAGATGTAGTTTCTGTAGCATTCAGCCACCACAGAACTGCAGTCAGCAGGTGGGAACTTGACACCTCAGCTTCCTCAACACTGATTTTCAATCAGTACTGAGTGAGAAGAATCACAAAAAATAAGAAACAAAACAGACACCCCAGAAAAAGTAGGCCAGGGAGAATGATAACACACACATGGTATGGAAAATGGTTTTGGTTTGGAAACCATGACTTTTTTCTGAACAGGCTGAACCTAGGACTAATATATGGAGTAAACAGTCATTGACATATGTGTGCATGTATAGGTAGAAGAGGGGAAAACAATCCAGCTGCATAAAATTTTCAATAATCTTCAAAAACAACCCATTATTGGCCTGTTTGTATTCGCATGTAAAGTTAACTTAAATACAAATAGTGAAAATAATACATTTCATTAAAGTTACCTTAACTCAAAATACGCTAAAAATGATAAGTTATAAGCTACTATCTCAACAATTCAATTTTGAGCTGGTTTGAATTTTTCAGATTAAGGTACTCCAGCTCTGTAGAATTTAAGTTGTGTTAACTTAATACTTTCATTAAGGTGTGCAGAAGGTTTTATAGTCTGAGCAGTAAATGTTTATTTGATCAGAAAAATACTAATTTTACAATAAATACAAATAATATCAAAATAATTAGTAGCGATTTTATGTAAATCAACGTCCAGTCCATTTTAAATGTTAAATCATGCTTGCTGCTGATGGACTTTATTAAATATATGTAATGGCTGTATATATTCATACATACATATATACATACAAATACTGCCATCACATGGATATATAAGTATATATTTTTTTCTACTGCCTTAAATGAATTTTCCTTATTTGACCCTTCAAGTCATCTGTAGGTTAAGCCTGAAGCCCAGCTGCTTACATGCTGTTGCTATGTTACTGTTGTCTTAACGCTGATGTGGCAATATCAGTAATATCACTAACGTTAGCACTACAGTACACCTTCAGTAGACACTGTTCACTGCTTTTAAAATGAAAAATAAAATCTTTCTTTGGCATCAAATTTGAAAAAATAAGACACATTAGTTACTATGAAATAATGCATATACACTGTGTAAGATTAAAGACAGACCAAAACAGCATGTTTTAGCCTTGATTTAAAACTGTTCCACAGTATGGAGCACATGCATATATTATTATACTATATGGGCAACTGAACAGCTGTGTGACCAGTAAGTGCACTTTAAAGAAACAAAATCCACTAATTAGACGGTGTGTCTGGAAACCTGCACCTTGTGACTTTAATAAACAATAACTATTTCATTTAAACAGTAGCAGGCTAAACCATGTTCAAGGATGCTCCAACTCACTGTGAGGTCTTGTTGCCTGAGATGACAGTCGCTATGGCACGATGGCTGTCCCAGCATCTTGGGGCTCTATGCCGAAGCCTCATGGCAGTGACAGAAAACATGTCCAGCTCCTGTGGAAAAGACAAGGAGAAGGAGTCAGTTAGGTTATGGCACAAACATGGGAGAACAGTATTCACTAAACCTCAGAAACCTAGCATTATTATTAAAATTCTGCCATCCAGTGGATAATTACACATTAATTCCTTAGTTAGTTATGTAAAGAATTATATTTACATTTTGTATCTACACATCTGGCTTTTTCACCAAATTTAAATTATAATAAAATCTCTCCTGTTCAACTTACATACACAAATTTGGTATTAATTTAATGTTAGATCCACACATTCACAAGGATTTCTCTTATTTCAATGATCTATTAAATAATAAATACAAATAATTAATGTGAAATTACAACATGCATTTTTTTTTCCCGACTCCTATGGATTCATTTCTAGAAAGGCGGAGGCAGCCTTTTAGGAAAAAAAGAAAATAAAAGAAGCTTAGAGCACAAATCTTGAAATGCAATGTTGCAGAAGAGGACTCTCTCAATCCCTTTAAGCACCTTCACACAGAGAGCTCCCTCAGTGTTCTGCAGTGGAATAGCTGAAATACAGCTGACAGCTGAGTGAGGAGAGCCAGCAAAGCCACTCTTTCTTCCCTACACAACTGTCTCCTCCTCCTGTGTCAGAGAAGACTGCCAGCCCACTGACCAGTGTCTTATCTCTGGCTTTTTCCACAGCATACCAGCTTGCTTCGGACAGCCTGGGAAAGCAGTAAATAAAAGACTTCTGTTCAGGCCCAGGCAGCTCACACGCCCTCGTGGTTGGGGCAGAAAAAGGGGGAAAAAAGCTCTGCAGAAAGACTGCCACCACTGGAGTGGGGGAAGTGGGCCGTTCCACTGCCTGGTTCACTCTCAGCCAATCACAGAACTCTTCAGCTATGCGGGTGGAATTCCTTGATCTTTGGAGTGCTCTTTATTCCTTTATCTCCCTAGTCCTTTCCGTGAGCTGTTCCTCTCTTCAAGAAATGTCTACGTGCAAGGGGTGGGGCAGAAGAGCTGGGAGGAACTTGGCTTAACTGTGTTCCAGTGGAACGAGCAGGCTCACACTGCAGGTTCGCCCATGTGAACCCTGGTGAAAAGTCCCACCCTCTCTGCTCCCTCAGCCAACAAATGAAAGCTGACCTCCCGCAAATCCTTGGCTGCTATCCAAACACTGGGGGAGTTTCTCTTTTCCTACACTATGGCTGAAACTACTGCTGGAGGTGATGAGCTAATGGACTACATTTTGTATAAAAGTCAGTGAATGATCCAGCTATCATTTAGTGTCACTCTGAAAAGTATTAACACATTCTTTATAATCAACTTTGTACACAGATCTACCTGCACTAATTGAATTGTTTAGGAATGTTTAGTGTCTGAAGTTTGCTTGTTTAGGTTTGTACTTGAAAGTATGAAGCTAATGGTGTTAAAAATGTAATGCAAGTCTTTATCAGCCAAAATCTTTGGGCTATAAACTTCTATTAAATGAACCTTGTATCTCCACTACAAGACTAAAGAAGTAAACGTCTGGCACTAAACAGGTCTTGGCCAATTCACTACACTTGGAGTGTAAGAAATTGTGCAAATTCTACTCATCTGTTTATTTTGAGGGAGAACTGGACAGTTGCATGTAATTGCGTTTCTTTCAACTGTTATTTGAACACATATCAGAATATGTGAAGTATATTGTACTAAAATCCCAAAGCTGTTTAAATCTTTTGAATACACTAGCTGCTTTCAAAATCAAATATGTTCTGTGAGTTTGAAATAAGACATGATGTTTGACAAACCTTTGCAGAAAGCAAATAGTCAGAGCTGGCTAATCCTCACCACATGAGCTAGGAAGTTTTTGGCCTCTTGCGGCTTCTAGTGGTGTAAATCTGCATTATTCTGAATTGCTTACTTCTGTACTGCTTTCATTTAAAAATCAGCAAGGGTGAGAAAAGGATACACTTATGTGAAAGTTTGGGCAGTGTCAAAATCTCACCAATTAAAAGTAAAAATATGGACCCAAAAACATACTTAATTGAAAGTCAATCAGTAAAAAAAATATGTATATATATATTTTATATATAAAAAGTGACCATTGTAAAAAATTAATTCAAAATTTGGTAACACTTCACTTGAACCTTGCTGCATAACACAGACTGTCTGTTATAAATCATGGCAGATGTCATATGCTGTCATGAGTTGTCATGACAGAGTATGTTCAGTGCAATAACTGAGTCATGTTGCCATTAACAATAATTGTCATGACTGATACTGTAACGTTTGATGTTATGACAGCTTACCTTACCTGCTAATTTTTGCTGTGAGGTAGTGCTCATAAGAGTACATGGCACCTTTATATTGATGTTGTTGGAACAAACCCTTGTATCTCCAAAATGATAACTTTACAGGAGCAGAAAAAACATACTTTATTTTCAGTGTAAGTCAATGGAACCAGACTTTTTTCCAAGTCATTTTAGGCCATTTCTTTTGGTCCATTCATCAAGAAATTTACAAACAATGTAAAGAGCAACAGGCGTTTTCAAATTATGTCAAAAACTGAAAAACTGCCAGGTTTTAGTCTGACAGCAGCACTAAGCTTGTAATAGCAACTGATATTAACCTACATACACATTTATAAAGGCTTAGCCCAAAATCTGTCATAAAGGTTGCTTTTGTAAACTTTGTCAATTTTACATATAACATCTATGTTAGGTGACAACAATAACACCTGACTTTCAGTTTAGTGCATATCACAGTGATATAATTATGTTTACATGGCTAAATCATGTAACTTGCTTTATCTAAGGGCAATTAATAATTAACAGTAATGGTAACACAACACTGTTATATTACTGGACAAAACAACTCTTGATGCCAATGTTATGTAGCAAAGTTCAAGTTTCACCCAAAGTGGTAGTGTGCAGTGCAGTGCTGAGTGTGCAGTGGCTAATCAGCGGTACCAGTCCTTTCACAAAGACAAACTGCCATTATTGTGAACATTATTACACATTTTACACTGATATGAATTAAATTGGATGTTTTAATAAAAACAATACATTCAAAAGCATGGGAGCTCATCTGACTGGCAAGACATAAATATAAAAATCTCCTGACCCTTCAAATTTGTAACAAGTACTTTGAAGGTGTTGATGAAAATGTAAAGTACACATCTTCCTAAGTATAGTAACAAAGTCCAAGTATTTTTCACCTCTGAAAATTATCAATATACTAATACTGAAGCAAATATACATGCAAAACATTACAGTACATTTCTGCTGGCTTCAAGACAGTGCAACTCCATATTGGTGTTTGATGGTGTTAGCAAACTTCAACTAAGAACTTATACACCCAAACTAGACACTTATAATATGACTCATCACGACAGTTATGCTGTAACAGAGACTGCAAAAATCCAAGTTACTTGAAATTTGATCACTGAATAATAACTTTATGAATGCATACACCTCTCATTTGAGGCTATTCAAGCATGTGCACTTTACATTCACAGTTAATTAGCCATGCTATATACAAAACATGTATAATGTTGTTCTAGTCATATGTAATCAGATGTGTCTTGGAGGCCTATTTAATACTGAAGACGTTTTACTAAATCCACTAGGTGGCGATATAAATCTACAAATGTCCTCTGTGCAAGTCTTCAGATTGACTCAAAGTTTGGCAGAGTGGTGTTAAAGAGTCCATATACTATTTTTTTTTCTTGTACTTAATTATTCCCACCAAAGTTCATTTAAGATGTCCATGTGGGTTTATGTACCATCAGCAGTTGTAATGAATTGTTCATGACCTTTTTTCTCTTCTTATTCCTTAGAATTAAACTGTTTTTGTTACTGTGCCTTAAAGACATATATATATAGTATATGTAAACAAGCTCTATTCTGATTTGTTGCTCTGTATTGTGCCTCAGTCAAACACCATTCCAGACTGAAGCACTCTTTATAAGTCCAGTGTGAACGGGCAAACCTAAATTATTTAAGTGAATCTTTGCAAATGTTGCTTTTTGTGACATCACAAGCACAAAGAGTTCAAAATGTGCTGTTTTTACAGCTTAGTTTCCATATATAGACTGCATAGACTGAGGAGTATGTCCTGAAACAATGTTTACATATTACACTCTTTTATTTTAGAATAAAGTGCAATGTTTTTTTGTGATACTGGTCTTTTAAGATTTGTCAGTTGTGTGCTACGGCATAATTAGTCTAATGAATGTCAAAGACTAAAGTTAAACACACAATTTAACTCCCAAGAGCAGCTTTATATTCTAAGTTTCTTAACAATGATCTGCTAAAGCTGCTAAATACTCTAAACGTTGATTAATTCTTGCTACATTTTACATTAACAGTATCCAAACAGCACATTCACATAACAAAAAACAGATGTAGCTCTGACTGATAACAGAGATCCGACAAAGGTCACTTACGAGCCATTTTGTCACAGGATTATAGCTCCAATAAGAAGAGCGGTGTACCTGGCTAGGTGCCATCCCTCAGCATTACCACTCTCTGCCCAGGCTGTGAGGACTCTGCAGAACACCATTAGAGCCCTGTAAGCATTAAAAGCATTAGGATTATTTCCTGCTCAATGGACATTAGCGGGTAATTGCTCTGGTCTGACTGATCTTGTTAGCCAAATGATATAAGCCTGACTTCCTCCTGGTGCCGAGGAGAAAACATTTGTAGAGGTGGACAAATGGAGTTCAATGATGCATCATTTGCACACATTGGAAGAACCAGCGCTCTTACATCATACCCAGAGAAATACAAGGGAGAGGACCGGGACCCAATAACAGTTGTGTGATCGCAGCCAGAACGCACTCAGGACATCAGCACAGGGTCAAATTAAAATCTTGAATTTTACAGACAGAAAAACATAATATTAAAGCCAAAATAATTTCTAATCCAACATGTCTGCTCTACATAGCACAGATAATTTTTAAAAGTTAACCTCATTCCCTGTAAGAAAGCATTCAGTAAAAACAGAAAATGTACTGGCAGAAAGTTACCAGTAAATTGTCCATAAAGTCAATTATTTTAACTATTTTAATAGAACATTTTGTTAAATATCAATATATATTTATCGCATACAGAAGACAATTCACTCACTCCATAAATGTACAGTTTTATGTGTAGAAATTATATGTATTTTCTTACATGCAACACAGAACATTCTGTTTATGTGAATATACACCGACCAGCCACTTAATTAAAACCACCTGCTTGTTTCTACACTCATTGTCAATTTTATCAGCTCCACTCTCCATATAGGTATACTATGTAGTTCTATGATTACGGACTGAAGTACATCTGTTAGTCTGCATACTTTGTTAGACCCCTTTCACTCTGTACTTCAATGGTCAGGGTCACCATAGAGCAGGTATTATTTGGGTGGTGGATCATTCTCAGTACTGCAGTAACACTGACGTGGTGGTATTGTTTGCTAGTTTGTGTTGCAGCTGGTAAAAGTGGAACAGACACAGCAGTGCTGCTGGAGTTTTTAAACACTGTGTCCACTCACTGTCCACTCTATCAGATGCACCTACCTTGTTGGTCCTGCTTATAGATGTAAAGTCAGAGACAGTAGCTCATCTGTCGCTGCACAGCTTGTATTAGTCATCATCTGGTCCTTCATCAGTGGTCACTGGATGCTACCCACAGGATAGTGTTGGCCGGATATGTTTGGTTGGTGGACTATTCTCAGTCCAGCAGTGATACTGAGGTGTTTAAAAACTCTAGCAGCACAGCTGTGTCTGATCCACTCGTACCAGCACAACACACACTAACACACCACCACCACGTCAGTGCCACTGCAATGCTGAGAAGGACCCAACACCCAAACAATGCTCTTTGGTGGCCCTGTGTGGGTCCTGACCATTGAAGAGCAGGGGGAAAGGAGGCTAACAATGTATGCAGAGAAACACATGGACTACAGTCAACTATAAAGTGCCTCTATATTTAAATGGAGCTGATAAAAGAGACAATAAGTGTAGAAACAAGGAGGCGGTTTTAATCAAGTGGCTGGTCTGTGTATATTCTGCACTCACCACAAACATTTCTTTCAAATAGAAATGAAATTTATTT